ATGTAGTACCAACAGTAAGGTGTTCTTTGATAAGGACACCTAGATCCTCCAGAGCCTGAGGGTTTTTTTCAGTTTCAATGAATGGTTCCAATTTATCTTCTTCTATCAGTCGATCATATTTTTTACTCCAACCTGTAACAGAAATGGAATTTTATAGTATACAAAAATAGTTGTATGATATAGAACTATAAAAATGTCTCTGCTACCTTATGATCAGTGGATCGCTATATATAGTGATTTGCGACAGGGCACAACATGGCGGACAGATGGACATGGGTGCAATGCTTGATCCCCCTCCTTTCCTTCCCCCTTCCCCCCTATTTAATGGCGAAGGCATCATAAAATCAAAATAAAACTAGCAAAATATAAATATGTGCTTATATATTTATATTGTATATATGATTTAGGGGGAATTTCCAAGTTCTGTCTACAGATCTCAAAAGCAGTATGATTGAAAGTAGAAAGTTATAATGGTGCAGTGAAAAACACTTTTAAATATTTCATTGATATACACATCATATTTACCCAATGTTATTCTCAAGGCTTTATATAGATATTGTTAATTCTGATTTAACTCTGACTTTTTCTTTTTTTTTTCAACTGGAATTGATAAACTGAAAACAGTTAATTTGACAGTTACCTATGAAATGAATTTTCACATAGCCATCGTTAGTTTCTGTGTCGTCCGGGCAGGATATAATCCAGGAGTCCAGGTAGGCCTATCATCTGCCCCGGGACACTTTCCTCTTGCAGGACCAATATGAACAGAATTCAGTTCTCCAAAATCATAATAAATTAATGAATAGGTCTGTGAACTGCACATATGTTGGTAAGAGAGCTGAGAACATATTATTACTATCTGATATAGGACAGCCAGTCTAATATTCACTGTAAACGCGATAATACTTAATCCAAACAAACATTTTCGAAGTGCGAAGAAACATGTGGATGAAGAATAAGAAACTCAAAATATTGTGCGGAAGTCGATTGTCTGTTCAAAGTGATTTTCACCTTTGACCTCTGGCGGGACCGTAAAACAAACCTAAGTAAGCACATTTTCTGCCAATAAGCAATGGAAAATCTCTGGCGGAATCAAACAAAACTTCAGACATTGTACTAACAATGACCTTGATCTTTGACCTTAAAAACACAACCCAGACAAGCACTTGTTTTAAGGAAGCAATGTGTAACATCCGAGAGTAATCAGCCAATCGGAACTTGAGATATAAGTGTGCGAAAATAGAAGTGGGACGGAGACGGACGGACGGACGACGGCGATTAAACATACAGAGAGTTGTCCGCCAGTCTTTCTTTCACACACGTTGTTGTCGACATCCTGCAGATAATTTTCACCTGACGATTCTGTGACCCATACTTGATGTAGAGATCGAGAGTAATCGTAACCCCTTAAGTATCAAGGATGTCTGTAACCAGGATGTAACGTTCCTAGAATTGAACGCGAGCTTGTGTTTGTACACTACCGACTCTGATTTGAAACAAAAAAAAATGTTCATGACCAGTAAATTGCGAACACCCATTCTTATTATTTTGTTACTGGTCATGCACGTTTATGAATTAATTTCTTTCCTTTCCGATTTTACTTTCACGTGATAAGACACGTGACACGTCAGCATTAAACCATTTTCACGTAAAACGTGAATAGTCGTTGTTACTAAAATATTGTACAAAAACGTGTTTTACGATGTGCAGGTATGTGTTTGTATGCACTATAAGCAAATACCTGTTGTCCTTCATGAGAATATAATTGTCACCAATAGTGTTATCGTATGCAACAGGTGCACGGGTGACACGTTTACACTTTGCCAGGGAGTTAAAATTGGTCAGTGATACTACACAACTGTGCTTAAAAACAGTCATACGTATAACAAACAAAAAATAAAAGGTTAAAAATACAGACATTTGTAAGTTTGATATATGTAAATTGAGAACTTTTTCAAGCTCATATCTAACGGACATTTTTGTGCTAATAATCTATTTAATACATCTAGATTTCAAACATTATTTTCCCAAATACCTTAAGCTTTCAGAGTTATGTTGCTTGAGGAAAGCAAAAGCAAAAATGTGTTTCAGCTTTTTATAATTTCATGTAGCCTATAGTGTTACTGTATGCAACAGGTGTACGGGTGACACGTTTACACTTTGCCAGGGAGTTATAATTGGTCAGTGACACTATACAACTGTGCTTTAAAACAGTCAAAAAATGTAATAAAGTGACGGCTTCGGGTAATTATCATTGTATATACGCGTGCCTCCCACCACAGAGATAGAAAGAGATCATGTTTTTTTCCCTTCTGTTCTTGCGATGACGTGGATGATATTATACCGATAGTCACTATGTAAACGTCAGGGCTCGTTGACGAATCAGTGAGAACCACGAACATTGGTATTAAGCACCCCGAGGCTGGACTATCTAGTACTAAATACATATGATTGCTTTTAGTCATTACTTTAACATGCGAGCTATATTTAAAATTGCTGTTTTAAATACTCGACATCAGATATCACATATCCGTCAAATGTGACAAATATGCTGTTTTTATGACAACAACACCAATTGTAAATATTTTAAACTTAAGATCAACAATTCCTCTGTATATATTAAAAACTTCGGCACTCATCAGAGTGACCCACGTTTATGAAGTACATGTAAACATAATCCCCTTGGACTGTAGTTGTAAGTCTAGAGCCAGATATTTCACTTCATGTGGTTTAATCCTACAGGCTATTTTCCACCAGCTGTTAAGTTCCACATAGACTTGCACGTATTATATAGCACTAGTACAGCTTATGATTCATATCTGTATGAGTTGTCTGTTTTATTAGGTCTATAATGTACAGACAACTCATAGCTAGGGAAATATATAATATAATATGAAAAAAAAAAAAAAAATAGTGACCGATACCTGTGTTACGGATGCCGTTAGCTTCGTAAAGAATTTGGAAATAGAGATATACATTGTATATATATCTGACCTCTTTGCCCCAGTTTCCTCTGATCCCTACATCTTTGTCCTAAAGATGCTCGCTTTATGTTTTACAAAGTACACGTTTTAAGATATTTCTGATATAGGATCATTTGATTCCACACTACTCGTATAGCTCATGAGAGATATATACACGTTTGTTTTAGTTGTCCGGACATAAATTTATGCGTATGCTACAAGTCCGTAGATCTATGGTTCATATATTTTGCTTAATACCCCGAAGTTCCCGAGTATTTTTTCCCAGTCAGAATTTGACCTGAAGTTGGTCTAGTTTTAGTTCACAATGGTTTACATTTTCCTTAATCAAGAATTCTTATTTCAATAAAGTTGAACGTTTTATTCCTATATACAGAGAAAACTTTCACTAGAGAGATTTAATAACTGTTATAGCCGCTAACCACCTCATATTTACAGTTCGGTAACACGCCCTATAAGGAATTACAATATGTTGCAGGTAACAGGTGCGTTAGGTACGGTTAGGCTTGCACTGACTGGTAGCCCAGTTACATCTTGTGTACTTGCTTTCTAACTTACGTGTATAGAGAAAAGGGTAGAAAAAACAACATTCTTTATTGGATAACATGATTATATCTCGATCTTTTACAGAAAAGTGACGCATTAAAACACACTAAGAAATGTATGCTCAGTACTGACAGTGCATTTAGTGATGTATACGTGTACAAGTTTGATTCACCGTCTAAAACACAAACCGCATAAACAACACACTAATAGAATTATCTAAGTTGTAATCGGGAGATGTACATCGCCAATTAATCATGGTAATGTACATACAAGTGCTTTAAATGTGATACCACGTCACTATGAAGTGATTTCATTAAGACATCACATTGATGGCCTGTCAAATTGTCAAGTCACCCACCACGATATGTACTGTCATTGAATGAAAAGAAAATATTGGTTCACTTCATGGACATAGATATAGATATATATTTAAACTAAACAAACTATTTATAAAAAAAACAACAACAACAACAAAAATACGGCGAAAATAAGGTAGACATTTTAATGAAAAACTTAAAGATAAGTGTTACATCTAAGAGCAAGTTTAAGAGTGAAAATGAAACGAGCATTGCCTTTCGTGACGTCACCACAGCAGTTGGTTGTTTACGTCATGATGATTAACAGTATATATCATCTACATAACACTCTATATTTGAAAAAAAAAGAATTTCATTGTAACGTATACACTTAAATATACTAATGTTACTTTTCAAAGTAATATTTAAGAAAGTGATATGAGTTGTCATAGACATTTAATAATCATACGTCCATGTTGTAGTTAATATGTACCGCGTGGAAATACCTTTGTGCATGTTGTCAATTTTCAACACCTACATGTATGGCAGGTATGTGTGAGTATGATCCCAGGCTTAGACGGAAATCAGTGGTTCTGTGATTTAATAACTGTAAATTCTATTAGTAGATTATCTATATATTTTCTTATTTAACTTACATATGTGTTGTATATAATATTGTATGAATTCAGCGGTATATATATATATTTGTGATCGGATTATATATATATATATATATATGGAGATTATTACTAAAAAGATCCTATCGACAGGGACCTAAATAATGTTTTCAAAGGTAATTTCACACTTGTAAGAATTAAGATGAGATGGTCGATGAATAGATTAATAACGTACTGTTTTAATTTACATTTTTTTTATGTAGATAAATTTTGGAACAAATCTAGTAAATTACAGAAAGTAGGTCTACTGTGTCAAATATCGTTACAGAGTGTGTGACATCCTTCGATGCCATTCAAGCAATATTTCTTTTTTGAATGTTTAGCATCTTATGCCTGAGGAGATTAAATGAAAATACAAGATTAATAGGATACACTATCCATAAGGAGTATTTTTGGATCGGGGGAAAATTTGTCAAATCACGTGATCTCATTTTCAGCCAATCGCATTACAACACGCCTTAAGTCCGACTGTATACTGGCATGCGCACAGAAAACCGGTCTCTATTGCCACGTTTACCTATTGACAGAAGACGTATTGAAGGATCTCTCCCCAAAAACTGGGTGACTTTTCGTCATGTTTGTTAAAATAATATCGTTGCTTTTGTTAAGCTCTTTTATATTAGCTGAAGACATAAAAGAAGAGGAAGGAGTCCTTGTTCTAACGACAACAAACTTTGAGCAGGCCATCGCAGATAATGAACATATTCTCGTAGAATTCTGTAAGTATGAGCCGGTGTCGGCTACTTTCGACATATGCTAACCTGTTGATTTTGATGTAAGCATTTATGCCTGTGATGAATGCGTAAACAATTAATGAACTAAATATGCACGTGTGGTTGCTTATTGATGTTGACTGATGTGCGTTGATAATGATGCACTGTAGTCGTCTGCTAGTTACACCAGCTGCACGCGTCCACATTTTGATTCACTCGTGCAAATGATAGGCCTATCTAAGCTAACATTTTTTATGCAACCGTATTAAAGATATAAACTGAAAGATTGTGCTAGTGGGCTTATCCTGTGCAAGTACGAGCAAATCACATTGGTAGTTTTATCGCGATACCGTACTGTTGACTGGTAATTGGTCCCAGTAGTGTTTACACGAATGCACATTGTGTGATGTAGGATTTTTTTGACACGTGTGCACTCGCAAGTCAGTAGGTTTATGACACTAACCCATTTCCCTCACAGGTTAGCATATGTCGAAGAGTGACATTTTATATTTGTGTATTCAGAGTTAAGAATGTTGTACTATAATCATGCATATTCCACTTAATTATGAAACTGGTCACTTGCATTATGCTCAGCTTCCGGTTTTAAAATCAGGGTTACACAAGTTATTGAAAACGATGTTTACATTGCTAACATGTTTCATTTAGTAATTTGGGCATTGATCTGTTTTCTGTATTGGCAATATTAATGGAGAGAAATTGTATAAACTAGTAGCTGATGACACATAAAAATATCCATCGCCATCAAATGTTTTCAGCAGATTAGAATCAGTGTCCATAGGTTTTTGACAGTTAACTTTTATTTTCAAAGAACTATTAGCAGTAATATTAGACCTTAAGTCTTTTGACATGCTGATCTGTGATTAGTCAACAAAAATAAAAGGAAAAAAAGCAATGCTGTCAGATGAGTAGAGAGATGTGAAATTTTGTAATATTTGATTTTCACTTTAACCTCGCATTTTATGATGACATAAATTCTTAGATACTATATAATCATCTCACTTCCATAATGATGAGACTATCCATCTCTACGTTTTGAGATTTCCAGGGAACGTCTAGAATAAAACCTCCAATAATCATATCTGCAACAAGAATAATATCAAATTAGTTTTGATGGCCAATTCTTTGTTGAAATGTTTTTTACTTGTACTAAAATTTGTCTGTAAAATTGTTGAATTCTCCATTTTAGAGCAAAATGTTTCATTCAATGAACTTAAAAAAATGATCCACCAGACCTTTTAGTTGAAAGTTAAAGCAAAATGTCTAAATTATTTTATTTTAACACTTGGATTGTATTAAATGCATGCCTGTTTGTATTTACAGATGCACCTTGGTGTGGTCATTGCAAAGCTTTGGCTCCAGAATATGCCAAAGCAGCTCAACTTTTAAAGGATTCTGATTCCAGTATTAAACTAGCCAAAGTTGATGCCACTGTTGAAAGTAGCTTGGGTGAGAAATTCGGAGTAAGAGGATACCCAACACTGAAGTTTTTCATAGGTGGCAAACCCAGCGAATACCAAGGTATTGTATTTTTAGTCAGATAAGAGAATCTACATAGTAGGGATGACATAATGAATTACAACTACATTATAATAAATCAGGTTGTTTTCATATTTCTTCCAGGGTTAAAGAAAGTCTTGGTGAAACAGTTGTAAAAAATCCCTTGGTTGAGAAACAAGTTTTCATATATCTTTGGCATATACTATCACACAAGGGAATTATAATTTCCAAGTTTTCCTTTATCTATGGCTCTGCCTAAAATCAGTGGATTTTTAACAGAAAATTAACTTATTTGAAATGTAATGGAAAACATCGACAGAATTATACAAGTTTATCTTTTAAGAGTTATTTGTATGTTACATAAAATTTTATTTGGGTAGGTGGCAGACAGGCCAATGAAATTGTTAACTGGTTAAAGAAGAAGACTGGTCCCCCATGTACAAGCCTTGATGATGTTGCTGCTGGCAAGAAATTTGCTGAATCTGATGACGTGGTTGTTATTGGATTCTTCAAGGTAATACATCATGATACTAGGTAAAGAGGTGATGAATTTATAATTAATTGGTGGTGTTTTAAGTTTTCTTTGAACACATGTTCTGGAAAAAACCTGTATTTGATGATGTGATTAAAGAAATTAAATTTTCAACAAAAGTCTACTATTGTAGACAATATCTGGCAATAATATGGACAAATTTTATATGAAATTGGATAAAATTCATGTATATCATTGAACTAGTGAATCTCGGTTACAAATCAAAAACATGTTTCATACAGATATGTTTCAAGCAAATATGTTTTGCTTGTGATTTTTTAAGAAATGAGCTCACATTGAAAAACAGATAGAGATTCATGTTCAATATGCTCTTTATACATGTACTAGTATCTGACATTATCCTTTTAGGATCTTGAATCTGTTGAAGCCAAAGCCTATGAAAATGCAGCCAGAGAAATTGATGATGTTCCTCTTGGAATCACATCCAATGCTGATTTGTTTGCAGAGTACAAAGTAGAAAAAGACGGAGTTGTCTTACTTAAGAAGGTATTTTTCAGCAGTCTGTTAAGAACCACAATAGTGTATATCATATTTAGACAACTATCCTGCTGCTTTTAAACTGTAAATAATTATTCAAGTTGTAGAGAATAGTAATGAATTTATTGATGATAGTGATTGTTCATGGAATAATCATTTACAGATAAAAAAGATAAAGGAAAGTCACTCAGTTCCTTACAAAAAAATATTGGGATATGTAGCATGTATTAGTAAAGTGTTGATTGCAAAAGTTCTGCTTTTATGATTATTTTCAGTTCTTGTTTTACAAAATTTGTTTGCAATTTTATCATCAGTTTTGTCTCTTTGTATAAGATTGAACAATTATCTTTCAGTTTGATGAAGGACGAAATGATCTTGAAGGAGATGTTACTTCTGATGCTGTCAAAACATTTGTTGCTGGCAACCGTCTCCCATTGGTTGTAGAATTCACTCAGGAGGTACATTTGCATTTTGTTATGATCTTGTACTAATAATGTTCACTCTGATTTGAAAGATATTTTAGTTACTGTATGTAACTGTTTACAAATACCTGTTTCTAAAGTCATTTACTTTCCTGGGTTAGTTTATACTGTTCTCAATATATGTAGGTTGGAAAAGAAACATAAATTGTGGTGTTTTAAATCAACATTTTTGTTTGAAGGATATGATTTGAGAATTTTTCATGCAATGTTAAATTTGTATTGTAGTTAGTATGGTAATGAATATATTCATGTTTTCTTATTCTTGTTTGTTAAATACTTTTCTGTTTATTTGATCAGAGCGCCCAGAAAATATTTGGAGGAGAGATCAAGAATCACATTCTGTTGTTCATCAAAAAATCTGCAGATAACTTTGACAGTGTCATTGAAGGATTCAAAGCATCTGCAAAGGAATTCAAAGGAAAGGTGAGGTACTCTAATACCAATAGTAATACATGATACTTTGTGGGGGAATAGTTTTGATTTTCATCTTAAGAATATATTATACTTTTGAAGTAAAAAAAATTGGTTGAATCACTTGAAAATATTCTATATTTGTGTCCTTCAAATTAAAATTGCAAAAATTGTAAAAATTTTGTCTTAACTTTCCTGGTGTTTGACTGCAGGTTCTTTTCATCTATCTTGATATTGGAGATGAAGAAAACGGCAGAATCCTGGAATTCTTTGGACTGAAGATTGATGAATGCCCATCTGTTCGTCTTATCAACCTTGGAGAAGACATGAGCAAATTCAAGCCAGAAACTGATGATCTTGGCACAGAAGCAATTAGTAAATTTGTAAATTCATTTTTGGATGGTAAGATGAAACCCCATCTGATGTCTGAGGAAGTTCCAAGTGACTGGGATGCAGAAGAAGTGAAAGTCCTTGTAGGAAAGAACTTTGATGAAGTAGCCCGCGACAAATCCAAGGATGTATTTGTTGAATTTTGTAAGTGATACTTTCCAACCACATCTTAGTATGAAGAAAAGAATAAATAAAAAAATGGGTATTGTTTTTCAAGGACATTTGAATGTCATTAGAATGAGAACTTGAATCTGAATACATAGTCTCCTGATCTGGACTATCTTAATCTGTGGTAAAATTCCATCATATGATTTTTAGTTCAGTAATGGTTTGTTCGGCTTCTTATTTCAGTTTATTTTAAAAAATTCTCATTTATGTTTTGATACACTGCTCTCTTTGAACAAAATGTGTATGATATACACTGCCAAAAGGAAACATCACATTGTTTCATTGGAAAAAGGAGCACTAAACAAGACATAACAGAAATAAGTTGAATTTTAAATATTTGTGAAAAAAATAAAAATAGAATGTTAAGAACTTGGGAATAATTTGAGTACAGTCTAGGGGCTTTTTTTGAGTTAGGGTATCTAGGTTTTGGACTTGAATAATTCTACCTATAATCAAGGAGTTTATAAAATAACCACCAGATTCTCTTAAATAGAAACTGAGCACAGTAGACATTAGCTACATGTTCTCTGATGAAGTGTATAAACTTTCATAAGAGGATGATTTTTTTTTGGTACCTGACCAATTTGCATTTTCAAAATTAGCTTAGGGGCAAGTATTGCGATATGAAAAAATTGTAAAATAGAATCTTGTGTAAGCTCTTTGAAATGCTTCACTAAACCAAGATACACAATTTTAGAAATTTATCATGTGAAGCTAAACTATCATTATTTTTCCAGAAAATGTTTGAATTGTTCTAAATTGTTTACAGATGCTCCTTGGTGTGGACATTGCAAGCAGCTTGTTCCCATTTGGAATGAACTGGGAGAAAAGTTCAAGGATAATGCCGATGTTGTTATTGCGAAAATGGATGCCACAGCCAACGAAATTGCTGATGTGAAAGTTCAGAGCTTCCCCACCCTCAAATACTTTCCAAAAAATAGTGAGGAGGTAAGAATGATGTTGTGAAATGCAGTGTTCAATGCTGCACTGGTGAGTTAGTAGCCTTTCACCTAGGCCTAATAGATGTGACTATTTGATTGGATATGAACACATATCAGGAAACCTGTCTGACTAGAGAGATTTCCGTGTATTCCAGTTTCTTACTGTAGAAAACTAGACGTGCTTCTATCAAGGCACTTGAGTGATTTATTTCAGTAGTGTAAAATATGGTTGATAAGATTTAATATGTTGTAAAATGTTTGAAACTGAAGTGTTGCTTTGATTTTGTAACACTTCCAATACAACCTTCCTAATAAGTGGTTCAGCAGATGTGTTCTGGCGAGAAAATTCTTCATTATGGCCGATTTTCATCAATATTTAGCGGAATTGTATCTTGATTTTGAAACATTCTATATTATAGATTATCGACTACAACGGCGAGAGAACATTAGAAAGTCTGGTCAATTTTGTGACGAGCGGTGGAAAAGAAGGTAATGGTGAAGCTGATGACGATGACGATGAAGAGGATGAGGAAGAAGAAGAGGAGGAGGAAGAGGACGATGAAGTGCCCAGGGACGAGTTGTAGATCATCCTTTTAAATTGCATTTGTCTTCATTAAACCTCTTCTATTTTTTTTTAAAGTGAATATCCAGGTACCTTTAATTGTGATTTTTGCTGGAGGCAGCTGGATAAAAATATTTTTACTGAGCCTCAATATTGCTGATAATGGGGGTTGGATGGGAAGGAAAAGTTGTATTCTATGGGGAGGAAGTGAAATTATCATTTTATTTGAACATTTGTTACTTTTGTTTTTTTTCTTCTTTTTTTTTCTCCTTTTAAAATGGTGAAAAAAGTTATCTTCAGTAAGGGGAGAGATCACTCCAATACTCTTCAGTTTTAGTTGAAATCATGTCTTCTTTCATCTTCAATATTATGAAGTTGTAATGGGGAAAAGGTAGAATGTGTGTGAACGTGGATATGCATGTGTTTTGAAAAAAGAACAGTGAGATGTGTACATTTTCAAAATATCAAAATTCCATTTGAATTTGAATGATGAATACTAGATTTGAATGGATTGTTTGTGATGAACTGTTGGTGTATGATGGTGCAAACTTACAAATATGTGCTTTAACTAAATACTAATGTGAGATGTATGTTACCAACAAACATTTATAAACCTCAAGATACTTATTAGATATATTTATGAATTCGAGAAGGATGAGCTTTCTGTTTTTGTTGAATGTGCTAAAAGAAATTGCCATACAATTTTTATAAACAAGGTAGTCAACTAAGATTGAAAAAAATAAAATATACATCTTGAACTGGATTTGTTTTATGTTTTTAAAGGACAATCACATGGGCAGCAGACACTTAGGTACATTTGGAGCTTTTCAAAAGTTTGGGAGGTCACCTAATGATTTTTGTGTCTGGAAATGATGAATGATACCTTTACTGTCAGCATAATCAGTTGATAATTATGTAGCCTGGGTAAATACTAGCTGCAATATACCATTCGGATAGAGAGAACCTCTCTTCAGCTCGATTGGTTGAGCGGCCGACTAGTTAAGTCTGTGTCAAAGTTCTGACAGGGGCATTGAAATAAATAATGTTACATGGCTGCAATGTTGGGACTCTGAAATAATTTGTGTCTACTTTCACAAGCATTGCTGTAACCCTGGAAACTCCAGGATGGGTTCTTTCATGGAGGGGATTGAAGAACATAATAACAGCTTGCAATTAGAAGGACAAAAATTGTGAGAAACATAATATTGGATTTTTCTTACACTGGACAACATGTAAATAAAAGAATTATGTTTGATGGCTGTAATTTCATTAATTGCCAATGTAGGTACAGTATTATGATAAGAAGTAAAGTACAATAAAACAAAGTGCAAAGAAGGCGATGCACAGGAGAACAGTAACTTTCAATCCAAATGTTATATGACTAATTGCATCTTGCTGCCATTTTCTTTAAGGATTTGTTGGGTGAGTGATTAAACCAAAGAATATCAAAACTGGTCAAAAGAACTCAAAATTGAGATGGAGAAGTGCATTAGCCCCCTGATTCAATAAATTTCCTAATTTGAAAATGAAAAATATTAGACTGACAAAACAGAAGTGAATAAAACATTCTGTCTAGAAGCTGACAACAGAAGTTGTTGCCTAAAAAGGTCTGCTAAATGATGGTCAAGCTAAATGTACATGGAACATAGGATATATGCGAGTATGTCTGATGTAAAAATTTCCAGTCTTCAACTAATTTTCAAACTTTGTAGGCCATTTGCCACAACATAGACTTGTGTTTTTCGGAGAAGCAGTTTGATAACACATTGTTCTCCTTTCAGCGTTTCAATGTTGTGTGGAGACTTGATCAATATCATTGAAACTTATCAAATATTATAACCCTGACATTAATAAGTTGTGTTTTCATGAATGGCAGTATAATTCATCAATTTCAGAAAGAGTTACTGCCCTTTGTTTTTTTCAGCATTTTAACATCTTGTCACAAGACCAACTCCTTCAGATTTTAACCAATATCATTGAAATTTTGATTTTCATGGCAAGTCGTGTTTTCCTGAACGGCACTTCAATTCCACAATCTTAGTAAGATTTCCTGCTATTTGTTTTCTTCCATCATTTTATTCTGGTTCAGAGATTTCTTATCTCAGTTTTTGACCAATCTCACTGTATCATCTCTAAACACATTGTTGCGTTTTTCCTATTGGCCTTTTTACACCATCAAAGAGAGTTATTGCCCTTTGTTCTTTTTCAATTTTTTGATCTTGTCTAGAGATCAATCATCCTCTCTATCTTTAATCAGTTTCTTGCAAACATTGCTATAATGATATAGAAATGTGCTATCACTCCTGTATTTTGATAAGGCAATTATTGTTTTATTGCCTTTTATTTTTCATTGGCATGGGATGGATGTTTATTGTTCTGCCATGTGGTAGTTTTGTTCTTAAGAATTTCATAATTTCCATTGTTAACTTCATTATCTTGCCTCAGGTAAATATCAGTACAATTGTATCCTAGTTGTGCAATGTTCCCTAAATCACCAAAGATTTGGTTCACTAGATTAGATTGGTTACTGGTCTCGCATTGAGATCTCCTGAGTAATTAATTTTTATTCTTTGAAAAGTACTCTCTATGCCTTTTCCACAACTAAGGACTTAAGGGTACTTACATATGAAAGTTGAAATTCAACCATACAGTATTTCTTTGAATGTAGCAACAAAAAACTTTAAATGCCATAATCCAAGATGGCCACCTGTCTGCCATTTTTTTTGCTGATCTATCCAAATTGGAAACCTAAATATGAGATTTGAGAATGATCCTTCCAGCACTTCTTATGAAGTATAGATAAAGTTTTTCAATCAGTCCTTATGTAGACTATTCTGAATGAGGAACCAATGGAGACTTAGATTGATTAGACGGTAATTCTCGAGAAATAGTGTAAACAAGTATTGATTGTCAAAATGTAGGTCACAATGACATGATGACAAGATTGTGGAAAGACAGACAGAAGGACTTCTCAGACACAAAACAAAACTAAAATCTCTGGTTCTTGGTTGGGGACCAATAGGGTACCAATAAAATCAACACAGGTACCATCTGATGGAAGGTCAAAGACAACCTGCAAGTACTCTGGAAACCTTCACCTTTAAATATGTGAATTGTTGACAGCCATTTGCAATTGTCTTCCTTGAATAAAAAAATTATTCACCAACTGGTACAGGTTTCATCGCAAGAACTTCCAACCATATATCAGGATTAAAATTTCTAGGCTTATCAAAACAAGTTCTTTGAATTTTCTTTGGTAAATTTGACCTTTATGACTTTGAAAAAAGGTCTGTCTTTGCTTTTCACAAACTTTTTCAGACTTCATCCCAGGGAACTTTCAGTCACATATGATTCTTGGCCTTTCGGTTCATAAAATGTCATTTGGAAGTTTTTGAAAACAAATCTGACCTCAGTGACTTTGAATATGGCCCAACTGTCTGATTTGCCAAAATGGTTGGACTGGAAAGAACCAGTCAAACATCATGACTCTTGGCATCTTGGTTAATGGGAAGTTGTTTAAAGGGAAAAAATAATGCAAAAATGATGGGTGCTGCACCATGACATCAGCCTTTGAGCCAGGTGTGCTATGTGACATTGGAAAGAAATTAATGTCAATTTTGACAATGATGTTTCCTTTGAAATAACTATTCACTCTCTATCACACATAACTGATCATTAGTACACCTTCATATTGATTCAACAACTGAAAAAGACATTTTTTGTGTTTATTTTTATGTCATATCGACAGTAATATTCAACAGTCTTTACAAAATTAAACTTAACACAAAAAAATACATATTGCACAGAGACAATTTTTGTTTGGGTAAACATAGTTTTAGTACAATTGGACCAACATATTTGATGACTGGACAACACCCTGATAAACCTGTGATCTGCTCTGTATACAAGGAAGCTGAGGACACTGAATTACAAATTTACTTGTATACAGAATGAATTAGATAATAGTTGACCAGAACAACACATTGAACTTTAAAACATGATATCTCCATATTATACCGTCTTATTCATAATAAAAATGGCCTATTGCAATATTTAAGATTTCTGTTTGTAGTATATTTAAATTCACAAATCCATAAAGAAAACTTCAAGCATATAAGTACAAAAATTGAATATTTTTTGATGTTAAAATGAATTTTCCATCTATCAACTGGCACTATATTAACATTAATATAGTGTTAGCCACAAACATTAATTGCAAACATAAGATTATGGTATCCATTCAACTACAATCATATTTGATAAAATAAGAAAGCAATTTCCTGAACAATTCCTCAGAATAAGGATCTCCTGATGTCCACAGATAACTTGTGAGGCTTGACTATACTTTTTTTTCAAAACTAGGATCTCACGATATCACCAGCCAACATGTGATCCTTGACTACAGTTTATCATAACTAGGATCTCACGATATCACCAGCCAACATGTGATGCTTGACTACAGTTCATCATAACTAGGATCTCATGATATCACCAACCAACATGTGATGCTTGACTACAGTTCATCATAACTAGGAGCTCATGATATCACCAACCAACATGTGATGCTTGACTACAGTTCATCATAACTAGGAGCTCATGATATCACCAACCAACATGTGATGCTTGACTACAGTTCATCATAACTAGGATCTCACAATATCACCAACCAACATGTGATGCTTGACTACAGTTCATCATAACTAGGATCTCACGATATCACCAACCAACATGTGATCCTTGACTACAGTTCATCATAACTAGGATCTCACGATATCACCAGCCAACATGTGATCCTTGACTACAGTTCATCATAACTAGGATCTCACGATATCACCAGCCAACATGTGATCCTTGACTACAGTTCATCATAACTAGGATCTCACGATATCACCAGCCAACATGTGATCCTTGACTACAGTTCATCATAACTAGGATCTCACGATATCACCAACCAACATGTGATCCTTGACTACAGTTCATCATAACTAGGATCTCACGATATCACCAGCCAACATGTGATGCTTGACTACAGTTCATCATAACTAGGATCTCATGATATCACCAACCAACATGTGATCCTTGACTACAGTTCATCATAACTAGGATCTCACGATATCACCAGCCAACATGTGATCTTTGACTACAGTTCATCATAACTAGGATCTCACGATATCACCAGCCAACATCTGATCCTTGACTACAGTTCATCATGTCTAGGATATCACGATATCACCAGCCAACATGTGATGCTTGACTACAGTTCATCATAACTAGGATCTCATGATATCACCAACCAACATGTGATCCTTGACTACAGTTCATCATAACTAGGATCTCACGATATCACCAGCCAACATGTGATCTTTGACTACAGTTCATCATGTCTAGGATATCACGATATCACCAGCCAACATGTGATCCTTGACTACAGTTCATCATAACTAGGATCTCACGATATCACCAGCCAACATGTGATCCTTGACTACAGTTCATCATCTAGGATCTCACGATATCACCAGGATATGACGATATCACCAGCCAACATGTGATCCTTGACTACAGTTCATCATAACTAGGATCTCACGATATCACCAGCCAACATGTGATCCTTGACTACAGTTCATCATAACTAGGATCTCACGATATCACCAGCCAACATGTGATGCTTGACTACAGTTCATCATAACTAGGATCTCACGATATCACCAGCCAACATGTGATGCTTGACTACAGTTCATCATAACTAGGATCTCACGATATCACCAGCCAACATGTGATGCTTGACTACAGTTCATCATAACTAGGATCTCATGATATCATCAGCCAACATGTGATGCTTGACTACAGTTCATCATGTCTAGGATATCACGATATCACCAGCCAACATGTGATGCTTGACTACAGTTCATCATAACTAGGATCTCACGATATCACCAGCCAACATGTGATGCTTGACTACAGTTCATCATAACTAGGATCTCACGATATCACCAGACTTGATGCTTGACTGCAACAACAAAATGAAGATCTCTTGATGTCAGCGGTTAACATGTGATCTGTGACTACAGCTCATCATTACTTGGATCTTTCAATATCATCGGCCTACATGTGATCCTTGACTAGACTTGACAACTACTGGATTAGACAATCTAAAGATGGTAGTAAGAAGATTACTAATGCTGGCAAACATTTCCTCAGACAATCCCTGAAAAGAAAAATGCACAAGTATAAGTGTAGACAAAATGGAAGGGAGATAACCTATCCCATTTACTGAACAATAAGCTTTACATGAAACATTTGGAATGAAAATTGTTGGAATTTAATAAATGTACGTTAATTGAAATAATATTTTGATCAATGAAGTAATAGTGAAGTAAATTGATTGTCAACTTCTCAAAGCCATATGTCATTTTATGGAGAAAAAAATGATATACAAGTTACATTATAAACACAGAAAATGAAAGGAAGGAGATAAAATCACAATCTATAGCTGAAAATCACATACAATGTTCTAAACAAGAAGTTTTATGGAAATACATACACGAGGAACAAGGAACTGGATGGTGCGAGAATTCTGACCACCATATGTAACCATTTCCATCATGAATCCCTTGACACATTTGAACATCAGTTCGGCTCGTCTCTGACACCACTGTATAGTCATTTCCTGCAACAGTCATTCATCCTAATTTAATTACTTCTAATAATCCTTGAGAATTTTGATACCATTTCTGTCAACTCCCAACAATCTTGATAAAGTAAAATGCAGCATACTTTTAATTTTAAATTTCAGACAAATTGATACTGATGAACAAACCTACACTCAAGAGTTTTTATTGTTCATAAAAATATAATATTTTTGACTTGCACTAGCCAATAATGCATTTTGATTTTCAGAAAAATTGTCAGAACAATAATTAAAACAGGATATTCATTCACTCTCAAATTTGATGAAGTTAAGATAAAATATGAATACATAGACACCAAAAATAGTACAAGTAACAGATGTTCCAAAAGGATAAGCATCTTGTGTTTCATAGATGACGCATGCAAGGTAAATCTTGGTCAATCCACATTGATCATGTAGAATATATAACAATTACATACTGGTACATGTAAAATATTACTTTCTTTTATAATCGCTGACCTTCATATGTCAAATAATACAATTATTCAAATTACTGATAAGTTGGTACAATATTTTCTCACCTCTGACATCTCGTGACTTAGCAGAAGTGGGATAGTAAGAGTGGTGATATCAGAACGGAAACAAAGCTTGATGATGTTACGGATGCTGAGGATGACTGGGTGTCGCGATGAGATGTCAATGGACCGAATACTGTCATCAATGACAAGATGAAACACTGTATGTACTTCTGATAAATTGGAATGTTTCGTGATGTAAAAATCTCCGACCTGGATGCGATTCCCTTTGTCCTGCTGCCAAGAAAAAACCGAGTCAAATATTGATATGGATATGATGATTGAGCCAGGGTCATTTTGAGTCAGGGTATCCTTTTAGTAGCTGATGGCTACCTCAATGAACAACATGGAAGAGGCCAGTAGCATCCTGTCACATATACAACTTGTTAATAACTTTTACTTAACTATTGTTCATAGGGAAAGTAACCTTAATAGTTGGTACTGATATACGCCACTAGTATGAACTGTATAAGATGGACATTTGTTTTGATACAGATGTACAGATATACTATTGTCATGGTTTAACATCATGTGAGTCAGGCACAAATAACAAACTGTGGCAAGTTTTGTTTCTTTCTCTCTTTTCTTTATGTTTTGCTGGTATTTTTTAATTGGTGCCAGTTAATTTTTCACGCTGATCAATCAAATTTTCGGTGCTTTCTAATCGTGTGTGACTATTGTTAATCGTATGTTAGATCTATATCATGTTTTTGGTATTATATCATTATATTTCCATTCTACAACCAGTCTCCTGTTTAGTTCCAAGTAAACCAGATGGGAGTATATCAGGCTATGAACTCCCATTTGGTCAAGTTTATAAATACACATTCGCTGGTCAAGGTGAGAGGACCACCAAAAAGTAATCCTGGTAGATATAAATGTAATATTTACATTCTGTGTTGCATTTCCATATCTACCATCACTACACCAAAAATTGTAGTGTATGAGACAGTATACTATAATTCACAGTGATTTAGTCACTGAGGAAATTAATAAATCTAGATGTCTCTTAAGTACACAAAACTGGCCGCTGGTCACTTTCACTTTGCTATCAATATACATTGTACTGACATATCCAAAGTTGTTGAACTTCAGTAAGGCCTTCACAAAAAAAGTAACTTTATAAAGCTATCAAGTTATAACAGAACAAATTTATTGTAAAACATAATTTCATTCTAATAATCTTTCACCCAGATTGGCTTCATATCAACTATATACCATAACTGATAACAATTCATTGTTTGAATAATCTCATATTTCCTAGTCATGATTTTGTATTTAGATTCTATGAACAAACGTATTGTTGTTTGTAGATTTATTTTAGTTTTTATATTCTATGGAAGCCCTTAGCTAATGCTATGGTGTTGGCTGTAGGGTGTTCGTGCACAGAGCAAAAAAAAGTATGGAAACCATTAGATGCCGGTTATAAGAAGTTGTGCTAGTCATGTTTCTAGTAGCTATTTGGAGTTGCACACTAGGTTGTCTATATATATGATATTTTAATTACCTATAATGTATAATTTACAGTATAATTAACAAATATTTGTCAATTTGATGAGTAATCATTATTTTGATAGAGTGTTAGTTAAGAGTGGATGTCAGTGACTGAAGCACATATTTTTGATTACATACTATTGTAGCTTCGCATGACAGAACAGTAAAGTAATCTACATCTAGACTGTCAGGACTGGTATCAACTCTACCCCCTTGAGCATCAGGACAGATTCGTCCGATATGAGGAATGCAAGGTCTAGGTCAGCTACGGAAGAGGCACAGACTAAGGTCAATGTCTGAGGTGGAGGGAGATCTATGTCTAGTGATTTGTGACCTCCGAGGCTGATGTTTGCCTAGTGTTAGCTTGTGTGATAACACCAACAATGAGTCATTTAAGCATGGAACTGCTTGTTATTCAGGATTGAGTATGGTTGTAAGTTAGTGACTTCATATGCTTTAAGAACACTTCATCTATGTTCCAGGATGTGTTAACTATTCTTCGCCTGACATCCTTTGATGCTCCCAGTAATACCATATCTGTTGTGTACAAGTTTGGTATGTGTATGTTGTACAATATCTGTTAACCAGTGTGGTATCTACAAGTTGTACAATATTTGTTTACCAGTTTGGTATCTGTGTGTTGTACAATATCTATTAACCAGTGTGGTATCTATAAGTTGTTCAATATCTGTTTACCAGTTTGGTATCTGTATGTTGTACAAAATCTGTTTAACAGTTTGGTATCTGTATGTTGTACAATATCTGTTTACCAGTTTGGTATCTGTATGTTGCACCAAATCTGTTTACCAGTTTGGTATCTGTATGTTGTACAATATCTGTTTACCAGTTTGGTATCTGTATGTTGTACAATATCTGTTTACCAGTTTGGTATCTGTATGTTGTACAATATCTGTGTACCAGTTTGGTATCTATAAGTTGTACAATATATATTTACCAGTATGACATCTGTATGTTGTACAATATATATTTACCAGTTTGGTATCTGTATGTTGTACAATATCTGTGACCAGTTTGGTATCTGTATGTTGTACAATATCTGTTTACCAGTTTGGTATCTGTATGTTGTACAATATCTGTTTACCAGTTTGGTATCTGTGTGTTGTACAATATCTGTTTACCAGTGTGGTATCTGTATGTTGTACAAAATCTGTTTACCAGTTTGGTATCTGTATGTTGTACAATATCTGTTTACCAGTTTGGTATCTGTATGTTGTACAATATCTGTTTACCAGTTTGGTATCTGTATGTTGTACAATATCTGTTTACCAGTTTGGTATCTATAAGTTGTACAATATCTGTTTACCAGTTTGGTATCTGTATGTTGTACAATATCTGTTTACCAGTGTGGTATCTGTATGTTGTACAATATCTGTTTACCAGTTTGGTATCTGTATGTTGTACAATATCTGTTTACCAGTTTGGTATCTGTATGTTACAATATCTGTTTACCAGTTTGGTATCTGTATGTTGTATATTTACCAGTTTGGTATCTGTATGTTGTACAATATCTGTTTACCAGTTTGGTATCTGTATGTTGTACAATATCTGTTTACCAGTTTGGTATCTGTATGTTGTACAATATCTATTTACCAGTTTGGTATCTGTATGTTGTACAATATGTGTTTACCAGTTTGGTATCTGTATGTTGTACAATATCTGTTTACCAGTTTGGTATCTGTATGTTGTACAATATCTGTTTACCAGTTTGGTATCTGTATGTTGTACAATATCTGTTTACCAGTTTGGTATCTGTATGTTGTACAATATCTGTTTACCAGTGTGGTATCTGTATGTTGTACAATATCTGTTTACCAGTGTGGTATCTGTGTGTTGTACAATATCTGTTTACCAGTGTGGTATCTGTATGTTGTACAATATCTGTATGTTGTACAATATCTGTTTATCAGTTTGATGTTTGATATATATACGTACCAGCTGATTATCTCCACTAGAACTGCTACTACTACTTTTAATGCTGATTTTATCACTGTCTTCCGATACTTTCTTCTGGGCTTTAAGTTCGTTGAATTTTGCTATCTCTTTATCAACATTACTAAACTGTTGGTCCAGACTAGGAAAATGGAAATCTGTTGACTGCTCACAGACTTTGGCAAAATCTGAAAAGTTTAGATGTATATCCCGATTAATTGAGTTAACAATGTTATCTTCAATTTTCATATACTGCTGCACTAAGGGGCACTGTAGCTTTTTTTTTTTACAGATCTAACATTTCTTAAGCAATACAATAAATGGACTTTTTCATACTGATGACCTTTAATCAAAACATAGTCTACATATTTGACTATATTAAATACTTGTTTTATTCTAAATTCTTGGAAGCCACAGGTCAGATATTGTTATTCCAGATCTCATCATTACTTAGAAAATTAACATTGGAGTCTATAAGACGTCAAAATTTAGACCTTTACCATCAATGACAAGTCCTTGAAGGACGAAACAGCTGTTTGATGCAGTGTAATACTTTAGCTCTGCTGTATCTAAATCTAAATTGGCATTTCAAAGTGCTATTCGTTTGTGTGTCTTTTATATCATCTTTGAGATGTTTGCTGAAAACTGCAGTACATTAAAAAAAATTGACATTGAAAGCAGGTCAATGTTGCAATAAACATTGGTCTTGACGAGGTTCACACAAATTGCCATTTTCTCTAAGTATCATTAATTATCAAAAAAGATTTTGTTTAACAAATTGATTCATATATGTATCATGACATAATCGCTTTAAACAATTTGAATACTGTATATGAGGAATCATTTGCTTGGGGTTATTTTCATTCATTGAAATATTTGCTTCATCCAGCAAAAACACATTATTATAAACAATATATTTTAGTTGGAACTTAAGCCATTGCTGTATTTTCACCATGTTAAAGAAAGGGCAAAAACAGGCAAAAGTTGTTTCCCTGTATAGAGTATGTTGTCATCCAAACAATCGTCAAACAAATTCTCATTACTCTAGGTCTTTTGGTTCTTTAGAAGAAGTTATTATCATGAAACTGACATCTATTGTTGTCTCTGTATGAGGTGATATTAATTGTTGTATTAGATGTCTTACCTCTTTTTATGCCAGTGTAGGAGTTGAGACGATTGTCCACCATGAGGATGAGACCACACAAGTTATTGGAGTATAGTGACATGGCTGTTTGTAGTCTCTGGGGTTGAGGTATTACCAGGCCACTGTTATAACACAAACAATAAAACAATTTGGTGAGTACCAGGCTCTAACTGACACACAGCTCACCAAGGTGAACTCATTAACAAAGTATGGCATTCCAGTGACAAGAACTGTAGGAAATGGAGCCCAACTTTTTTTTTTTTAAGATGTAGGTCAAATGTCAAATTATAGGTCAGAGTGACCTACAAGTAATACATAACACACTGTCTCACTAAAGTGAACCCATGCCCCAAGAATATAGACTTAGTGTCAAGTAGTGTAGGAGATAGAGTCTTGACAAGATAAAGGATGGAAGGGTGGAAAAACAGATAGACACAAAGTAAACTATAGTCAATCTGGTGGAGGAGACCTTAAAGAGACACAAGCTATTTGAGTACAAAAATATGACTGTCTGAAGTCTCTGGGGCTGAGGTATCACAAGACCATTGTGATTCTGCATAATAATTAACAGAGGCCACACAAGTCATTGGAGTACAGGAACATAAATATCTGTAGTCTCTGGGGCTGAGGTATCATAAGACCTTTATAATATCATAATCAACAGAGGCCACACATGTGATTGGAGTACATGGACATACATATCTGTAGTCTCTGGGGCTGAAGTATCATAAGCAAATTGTAATGTCATAATCAATAGAGGCCACACAAGTGATTAGAGTACAGGGACAAAAATATCTGCAGCCTCTGGGTGTGAGGTATCATAAGACCATTGTAATATCATAGGGCCACACAAGTTATTCGAGAACAGGGACATTGCCATCTGTAACCACACAAGTTACTGGAGAACAGGGACATAGCCATCTGTAACCACACAAGTTACTGGAGAACAGGGACATTGCCATCTGTAACCACACAAGTTACTTGAGAACAGGGACATTGCCATCTGTAACCACACAAGTTACTGGAGAACAGGGACATTGCCATCTGTAACCACACAAGTTACTTGAGAACAGGGACATTGCCATCTGTAACCACACAAGTTATTGGAGAACAGGGACATTGCCATCTGTAACCACACAAGTTACTGGAGAACAGGGACATTGCCATCTGTAACCACACAAGTTACTGGAGAACAGGGACATAGCCATCTGTAACCACACAAGTTACTGGAGAACAGGGACATAGCCATCTGTAACCACACAAGTTACTGGAGAACAGGGACATTGCCATCTGTAACCACACAAGTTATTGGAGAACAGGGACATTGCCATCTGTAACCACACAAGTTATCACAAAACCACTGTAAATGTTAGGTGGGCCTGATGTTTGGAGCATTTACCAAAGATTGATTTATGGTGTGCTGACAGGAGCTAGTTCAATGTTTAAGTAACTTTGTGAGATCTGGGTGAGATCTTGGCTTTAAAGTATAGTAACTGTTTCATTATCCTTCTTGAAATATATCAAATTGTCTGTATAAAATATAGAGTTACATGCTTTCAAGTGAAATATAACATCACAAGTACTGTAAATTCATTAATTTTTGTGGGGGAATTATTTTCCTTTTATTCATGGGTATTCTCAATCCACAGATTTATATGTTCACAATAGAAAAAATTAACATTGAAATGGATTATAGTATTAGTGGATTTTGTGAGCAAGATTTACCTACAAAATCAAGTGCCAATGAAATTGTATAATTTGGGAAACCATGAAATTTGAGCTCCATGGAAATATATGATTTTATAATAGTTAGGGAGCATTACAATTAATTCTGTTTATGATAATCATTCAATAAGACAGACAAAAAACTAGCCTTGCCGAGTTTAGCCTAATTTCAGTCGTGCTTTTGCTGTTCTAAATATAGCACTTCCAATTAACCTTGTTTTGCAAATGAAAAATTACCTATACGGCTCTCATCAATGAAAATGGACATCAGGTAATTAAATATTTAATAAAAAATAATCTGAGAGATCAAAAAGATTATACATTTCCAAATCTTAAGAAAACGTTTCATTTCCTCAGATTATGATTAGAATTGCTTTAAAATCATGAACACAAATAGTAACAGTGAGGCCCCTATGACCTGTCATCTACTCGTTTATATTTACTTTGGTAGGTAGCAGTCATTAATAAAGAATACAGGTCAAGAAGCCTTTCTAACCTCTGTTTTCAACACAATAGGTAGCATATACTTACCTAAAATAAGATTAATATAAATTTTGAATGAATCTTATTTTTCCATTAATGAATTGAAAGTACAACGACAGTAAAATGTCATTTATCAATTTTGTGGAATAAATTGGCTTTTTAACATTTTTAAAGCCATTATTTTTGGCTCAATCTAAGTTTGGGATATTTTTATACAGGACGTTCGAAAACTATGCTTAGCAACAAAAATAAGGAGACCAGATGGGTGTGCAAAATTATGTTCCCTCTCGTCTTCAAACCAGGAAGTAATCACTGGTTGATAACAACACCCATGCACATACCCAAGGAAATATTCATATATGTAAATTTTTATGAAGACATTCGATAAACCATTGTGTCCCTACAAGCTGTAATACCATACAGTATTCTAGTATTCTGTGATTTTTATGACATCAAAACAGGAATCTGTTTTATATCAGATGTTATATAACCTACCCAACTGTGTGTGTTTTATGTCGACAAAGATCCAGCACATCTGTACATAAAAGACGGAGGTTATGGGTAGTTTTCATCTGTGCACCTGAAATGCAAGTAATTGAAAAGACTTAATTCATTTACAGAATTTTTGTAAAAAATGACTGATACTGTCTACCCTACCATGTCATTGATTTTTTCGACTCAGATATTTGAGTCTCTGAATCATATATTTTATATGGGACTAAACCAAATTTTAAGACCCCACTGTATCTGTGTGTAAAGGTATTCATCATAAACACTGAAAAAATATTCTGGACTCGTCTGAACATTACTGCATGCCTTATTACTGAACAGTGACTTTCACATTTAAAACAATGAGTGTTAGTCCTGTAAATGTTGGGTTTTTTTCCTCTGATATTTGAAGTTTTGAGGGTTTTACCAAAAGTTTAGATAAAAAAAGAAATAGTTATTCTATTCAATACTTGAAAACAGCGAAAAATGAAATCCCTTGAAAATAATATGTGATTTTATATAACCTGTATGTCCTGTAATATCATGTGATATAACAGCTTATTTTTACATAGGACAGTCAACCTCAGAACTTAACATTGTTAGATAACAATATATTACCTAGAGGTACAATGTGTATTACCTACATGTACAGTGTGTATTTCCTATATGCACAGTGTGTATTACCTAGATTTACAGTGTTTTACCTAGATGTACAGTGTGTAGAACCTAGATGTACAGTGTGTATTACCTAGATGTACAGTGTGTATTACCTAGATTTACAGTGTGTATTACCTAGATGTACAGTGTGTAGAACCTAGATGTACAGTGTGTTTTACCTAGATGTACAGTGTGTACTACCTAGATGTACAGTGTGTTTTACCTAGATGTACAGTGTGTATTACCTAGATGTACAGTGTGTATTACCTAGAGGTACAGTGTGTTTTACCTAGATTTACAGTGTGTATTGTATAGATGTACAGTGTGTATTGTATAGAGGTACAGTGTGTATTGTATAGAGGTACAGTGTGTATTACCTAGATGTACAGTGTGTTTTACCTAGATTTACAGTGTGTATTTCCTAGATGTACAGTGTGTATTACCTAGATTTACAGTGTTTTACCTAGATGTACAGTGTGTAGAACCTAGATGTACCGTGTGTATTACTTAGATGTACAGTGTGTATTGTATAGATGTACAGTGTGTATTGTATAGAGGTACAGTGTGTATTGTATAGAGGTACAGTGTGTATTACCTAGATGTACAGTGTGTTTTACCTAGATTTACAGTTTGTACTACCTAGAGGTACAGTGTGTTTTATCTAGATGTACAGTGTGTATTGTATAGATGTACAGTGTGTATTGTATAGATGTACAGTGTGTATTGTATAGATGTACAGTGTGTATTGTATAGAGGTACAGTGTGTATTACATAGATGTACAGTGTGTATTGTATAGATGTACAGTGTGTATTGTATAGATGTACAGTGTGTATTACCTAGATGTACAGTGTGTATTGTATAGATGTACAGTGTGTATTACCTAGATGTACAGTGTGTATTACCTAGATGTACAGTGTGTATTGTATAGATGTACAGTGTGTATTACCTAGATGTACAGTGTGTATTGTATAGATGTACAGTGTGTATTACCTAGATGTACAGTGTGTATTACCTAGATGTACAGTGTTTTACCTAGATGTACAGTGTGTATTACCTAGATGCACAGTGTGTATTACCTAGAGGTACAGTGTGTTTTACCTAGATGTACCGTGTGTATTACCTAGATGTACAGTGTGTTTTACTTAGATGTACAGTGTGTTTTACCTAGATGTACAGTGTGTATTACCTAGATGTACAGTAAAGCTTTCCTCTAGTCGACTTGTGGCTGACGTCCTTTCCTCCTCCTCAGCCTCAGGCAGAGTGTTACTCATTGCCCTGACTCGTCCTCTGTAAAACAGAAGATGGTAGGATGTAGAGATGTTATTGGCAACTAGAGGATGAAATAAATATACACATTCTCTTATAGAAGTGCACTTTTAGTTTTTGATTCCAAAACCTTAAAGTTCGAAGTTTGTCAGAAATTCAAAATAATAAGAAAAATGTTCACATTATTTAAAAGATGTCAGGGCTCTGAGGGCCTGCATCACTCACTCAATATTTCTGCTATTTAACATCTTCCAGTTATTCAATTTACAGTCAAATGAATACAACTTTTGGTAAAATCTTCCAACTTCAACATCAGGCAATCATTTCCATTTCATCAAATCATTTTGATAAAATTGTATAATGGATTTGATTGAATAACAGAAAAAGCCTATATAAACCAAATCCATAAACTCACCAAAGTAGGATAAAAAATGTTCTTAATGAGAGATTGATGGGTAATTTATTGTGTGAAATATTTACTGACAATTTTGTCTAGAAAATTCAATACAGAAAACTAAGATCAAACAAGGCTAAGGGGAAGTAACTCATGACTTGTACACTTCATACACATTTACACACATACAGGTACATGTCCTAATACATTATTATTAACATCACGGACAAATATTGGTAGACTTGGACCATAAGTCCTTGTGTGTTATCACACAGGTCACTGCTACCAACAACTGTTTTTTACACTTAAGATAATTTATTCATTAAATACATACACTGGTGAGACCATTTAGAATGTCAAGAAAAATATGTATAAAGGCTAGCAGTTGTGCTCAACTAGAATCTCTCCTGTAACTTTACACCAACTTGTTTTTAGTATTATACATCCTGAATTTTTTAAAACTCAGTTATAAACAAGTTAAAACAAGATCTGTTTTCCCAATAAAACAATGCACATCCTCAAACATTTATTTGTTGGGTCCATCACAATCAGGAAGAATTTGGTAGCTATGAATTCTTTCCCCTTATTAAGCATTTAACCCTCACAGAAGAGGGGACTATCCATCTGGTTTAAACAACATTCAGTAATAGTGAAATTCACTTGGAGCCTTTAAAAAAATTGACAGATGACAACAGAGAGATGACAGACACTTTGCTCTAAACAAGGTGAACTAAAAACCAGCATTCTGAAACCATTGGTGACTGAAACTTACCAAATATTCAAAATAAAAAAAAAAAAAAAAAATAAATAAATAAATAAATAAATAAATAAATAAAAGGGTAAAGTGGAAGGATGGCAGCAAAAACTAAATTCTGTATGTCTTCAGTAATTTGTGTCTGGCATAACTAACAAAATCTTTGCAGCATTTAGCCTTTTGATCTATTGATATATTATCCTATAAATTGGGGAAATCTGACAGGAAATTTTTAGTGTTGTACTTACAGGTAAGATGGGGATTTAGCTGGACTCTGTGTGTCTTCATGTACCTTGATGACCCACTCTCGAAATTCACGCTTCTGGATTTCTTTCAGATTGTTGAGTTCACTTGTCCATTTGTTTTCTATCAACTGTAATTGAATTGCATTCATTATAAGAGTAAAAATGTTTACCTAAGATTGATTTTTTTGCCTTTTAGCTTTTTTGATATTACAATTGATCATGTAGGCAAATGAATAAAGATTTAACTTTACAAGGGTATACAAAAGTTTAAAAAAAATTACGAGAAAATTGCAGACACTGAGTTTAAACTGTAATGATATACTCATTCTAAGTCAGGACACAATGAAATAACAGAAATTACTTTACCACTTAAAGATTTAAGACAAATATTTGCCCACCTGAGCATTATCAAAATGTCTCTGAGCTAGGCTGCTGATTTGCTCATCAGTATAAGACTTTCCTACTTCCTTCAGTGCTTGCTCCATGTTTTTTCTCTGTCTGATAAATAGATAAATAGATAGAAAGATAAATAAATAAATAAATAAATAACATTGCCATGAAAGAACATAACCAAAAAAATAAAACAGTACATTATGTAAGTGTGAAATATGAAGGCAGAGTTTTTTTTACTTTCCCTCCAGGTACTTCTAGACTATATCCCTTAAGTATATAAAGCCTATAAAATAATGTGTTTTTAATTACAAAAATATGGCAGGTCATTACTTTTACAAAGGCTATATAGAGAAGTATTTTCTCTTATGCCAAATATCCTAAAAGATTGTTATGTATGGAGGTTACTGTATGATTTGAATGTGGAGTTGTCTACCTTCCCTCAATCATCCAGAGCAAGATTGTAGAATGTATGTGTGTGTGTGGGAGGGAGGTAAGTGTCTGATGGGAAGCACGTCCACCATTCCTCACTATGCTCCAGTGCATGATCCTAGAACTTGTGTGTGGATGGGAAAGTTAAGTGTATGATATAATTTTTGAGTTGTCTACCTTTCCTCAAGATGCTCCAGGTCCTTGTCCCTCTGATGTATCAGGTCTTCCACAGTTAGGGAGTAGGTATGCTCTAGATTAAGAAGGGTGTCCAAGGCTGGGGAATGAATCAAGTTGTGGTAAACCTCAGAGAACCGCTGCTCCTGGCTCACTTCATCAGATTTCGCAAAAGTCTTGACTTCCTGTGATAGTAAATTACAGTACATAATGGCAAGAAGACTCAGGAGACAACCAAACATCATACTAGATTTGAAGTCTGATTCATAATTATAAATCAACCTGAGTGTAGGTACCAATGTAACTACCCTTGACCATGACCTCAGCTGTTACCCAGGATTTTATTCAAGTTTGAATCTGTGTCACCCCCGACCATTACTCAAGTGTGGACCTGTGTGTTACCTCAGACCATTACTTCAGTGTGGATCTGTGTGTCACCCCAGACCATTACTCAAGTGTGGACCTGTGTGTTACCTCAGACCATTACTTCAGTGTGGATCTGTGTGTCACCCCAGACCATTACTCAAGTGTGGACTTGTGTGTCACCCCAGACCATTACTTAAGTGTGGATCTGTGTGTCACCCCAGACCATTACTTAAGTGTGGATCTGTGTGTCATCCCAGACCATTACTTAAGTGTGGACCTGTGTGTCACCCCAGACCATTACTTAAGTGTGGACCTGTGTGTCACCCCAGACCATTACTTATGTGTGGACCTGTGTGACATCCCAGACCATTATCTGAATGAAGACCTGGATGTCACCCTAGATCATTACTGATGTATAGATCTGGCTTTTACCACAGACTATGGTCTAAGTGTAAACCTGGGTGATACGCCAGATTATAATTTGTGTGTTGACCTGGGTGAAACCCCAGATCATAATCTGTGTGTTGACCTGGATGTTGTTTCCATTATTAACTGGATTTTGTCATGGATCCTTACCTGTGTATAAGCCTTGGTCCATTTTACTACCAAGTCATCAACCTGTTTAGGATCCTTCCTCACTTTGGTCATAACCTCTTCAGCATGCTCATCATATAATCTGTTGGACTCCTTTGTTACAAATGCTTGTAACTGCTTCAGTAAATCTGTACCATAAGTTATAAATATCAACATATTATTGGATATTGTCCAATTTAGACATCATCAATGTTAGTTACAATCCACATAACCAGTATGTAAAGCAACATCTCATTAGGTAACAAATATTGCAACAGCCAACTGAATTTTACCAAGATAAAAAACAAGAGATTCTAGACGAATGTTCACACTCACCATCATATAATATCTATCAGTTGTATGGAAGTTGGATATTTTTTCTCTCTTTTTTCTCTTCCTTTCCCTTACTTGTTCATAATCTTTAGTTGTTTTAACTGATAGGTAAGTTATAACTGATAAGTAACATCATTACACAAGAGAAGCTAACAAACAGAGAAAGAGAGATGTCTTTTCAATCAATCCTAAAATTCATAGTACAAAACTAAAGATCAGATTGAACTTCTATATGAAATTCAAGACTGATCCGTCCAGTAACAAGAGATACAAGAGGAATCAAAATCAAATATACAAACTACACAAGGACTAAGGGGAACCTATGTATGAAATTTAAGAATGACCCACTTGATGCTTATAAGTAAAATAGTGAAAACAAACTTTCAAAACCCAATATGGCCATATGTTCGCCATTTTAAATTCCCCATTCGTTCAAGATATAACCACACACATCTAGGGACCAAGGGAAATATACATATGAAATCTGAGAATGATCCATGAAATAGTTAATAAGTAATGGTAATAAATAACTTCCAGGGCTCTCAATCTGCTAGATTTATCGGCCCCATTCCCAATGCAAAATAGTATCACACACATTCTAAAGAAAACACAGGAAGGGCCTCGGGCCCCAGTTCCAAAATGGGATGTGAGAGCCCTGACTTCAAATGTCAAAACCTTCGATGGCTGCCTAATAGCCAGTTATTTTTCTGAACCATTCCCAACCAGGGACGAAGACGATTGAAAAGGATTGATCCATTAGTTCATTATTATCTAATATTTCATTGCTGAAAGAATCTATAGCAGTAAAATGATATAGGATGTTCTTGATTTTGATTCATTTACATGTGTATCGTAATTTTTAATATTACCTACATGTGACCTACCTTTGATCGGTTGAAACTAGATGCATATGCTTCACACCAAAGAATTTCCAAGTATTATAAAATACAATTTTGTTGTTCATTACTGATTGTTTAAAATAGGTGTTATCATGTCAGTGGACAACTTACTCAATTCTTTGAATCTCTTTGAAAAAACAACTTAGACGGTAAATTTGAAATAATGGACTCCAATTGCATGTTAAACTAAAGGAAACACCTGATTGAATATTATAATCATCTTGCTTTTTTTCATTTACAAGAGTAAATCTGTTTATATCTCTATATATAGAAACTTGTCCAGTCAAAATCGGACAAAAAAAAAAAAAAAAAAAGATATGATAAAGTTGAGATAATTACTAAACCAGTGGTTTGATAGTTGCCACCATGTTTGAATGTTTACAGAATTGTCCCAGTGACATGTCTTGAAGTACCTTCATTTCAAAAGAGTTCCAAATCACAATATCTACTATTCAAACAAACCTTCTTCAACATAGCACGGTAAGTCATGTGCAGTAACGAGTCGCGCCACAAACTCCCTAATGCTAATCTGACTCAAAGGTATTAGGACAGGAATGGTCAATTTGGACTTCTGCTCCTTACTGCTGAATACAAATTCGAAGTCTTTCTTCACCGTTGCTGTCATGGTGTTGTGTTTTCTTTAACATCAGCAAGAATTAACCATCTAAATAAAAAACAAAGAATTTTGTCTAAAATCATCAAAGAAAAATAACAAAATGAATTGCTTGAATGTCAGAAAGTCTGCAATATATATACTATTCTAAAATCCATTTTTGGCTGATGGTCTACTAAAGCATAGTACAGTTATTATCAAATAATCTGAATGCGTTAAGACAGATGTTAGGGCCACTGTAGCAGTGCTGTGTTAAATTGCTATGGTGCCTGGCTAGAGTTACATGGGTCCAGAGATTAAACCCAGGTCTAACCATACATATTTTTAGTTGTAAATAGTCATGTTTTAACAAGGTGAAGAGAAAATGAGCGAGGAATAAAGCGAAGCTGAATTTGGTTGTTAGTCACATGACATCACATCGCAGGCAGAAAGCATGTGTAAAACCATTGGCAGGCTCGCAGTGTAGTCTCAATAGGGCACATTTATGTTTATACAAGTCGACACAGATGCATTTTTACAATTATGTAATTATGTGATTATCCATAACTTTTATATAAATAACAATGCACAATATCGTCTAGAGTATATTTCAGATGAATATAACTAGAATAAATTTTCTTTTCACTTTTATTGTGAAATTTGGGCACATGTATGTATATTGGGGCTATAAGCAAAATATTCTTGTTACTTGTGTGTTAAAGATCGTAATCTTTGCATTCTATCGACATAGATTGTTAAAAGTATTGAGCTCAAGTGCAACAATTTACAGTATCCCATGCATCTGAACAATCTATTGATCAAGAATGAAGCATACGTTAATTAGGTCTACTTTCATTTTGTATTTTCATGGATAAAATCGAAATAAGTTGAAATAATCTTATGCCTAATTGTAACTATAGATACCATAGTTTGATGTACAACCACATTGTTAAAGAATATGTTTAAACTTACCATAAATCGTTGTACGTAATCATTTCCATATCAAACAGGTAAGAGAATAATACGCCTCCCACATAGAACCCGGAAGCAAATCCATGGACGCTGACATTTTAATAGTGCATTATGGGAAAGGTGGAAAAGGTAAATAGGTCAAGTTGCTGTGGAAAGACCCAAAACTCGGTCATAGATGGACGTGAAGACAGCAGTCCCAAACGGTAAGGAGACATTTTTCTCATTATAACCATTTCATATCTGTATTTTGAGGTAGGTGTTGAAATAATGTCATTGAACGAAGCCCAGATTTTTCGAAGAATTTTCGTGACGTGTTTGTCTGGTGTGATCATTCGCGTGCAGACATGACCGGTGGTGTCGTGCTTTGTTCCATAAAAATAGGTCAAGTTCCTGTCTGCTATTTCCCATCATATACACACTTGTGTTAGACTGAAGGCAAATGAAGCGCCAGTTGTATTCGTTCACCGGTCACTTATGGAGTCGAGACGAGGGTCAGATACAGTGGACATTGAATGTTGTGACCATTCTGTGTATTGGAAACATACGAGGGGTTGTATGAGAAGAAATAGGTCACTTGCTATGAGTCAAGGTGTGTTTCCTAAGATATCTGGATCTTGTGTACATACCATGTCTGTGTCACGTAGTTCACTTGTACTTCTGCCATTAACGGTCAGGTTGACCTGATGACATCCATCAAAACACGTTATGTGTTATATTCCTCAATACCGGGTGTATATTTAGATCCCATGCAATTTCAAAACGGCATTTTGAAACTCAGACGTCCTGCTTATTGACTTCAAAAAGTTTTTTTATTGTCCGTAGATTTCTGTTATGGTTACCCAGAAACATATTATGGAATGACACATATCAAATTCTCTACATACTATACCTCTTATGGTTTCGAGTATGAGAAGACTTGGAGATTTTAAGCAGAGTATTGTGCTAGACAGAATGTAGATATTTAGGAAGTGGGACATTTTAAACTAGAGTTATGGGCTTTGAAATCTGATAATTAAGACAGTCATAGCAGTAAACAGTATTAATAACAGATCAAAACATACATTTGTAAATAATAAACAAATTCTATTAGACAAAACATGTTTGTATGAAACTTGTTTGTCAATTGTAAAATATCTGATAATTCATATTATTTATAGTGTACATTTTTTTCCTTTCAATGTATGATAACCAATTTTTTAAAGTAAATAATAGTGATTGATACCATACATTCTTTGAAAGTTGAAGAATATAATGTTATCAAATATATTTCAATTTATATATTTTTATAGACCAGGATAAACTTAATCATAAATAATGATTTATCCCTTTATCTGTTGTGATGTAGATTAAAATGACTTTTTTCTCTCATTTCTGAATCTTGCAGCGATACAAAATGTAAACACAGGTAAAGCATTCAGACACAAGTACATGTACTAGATATTTATGTTAATAAATTCCATAATATAGATTGAAATAGAATTCTGAAAGTGAATTATTGTTACCAACATGAACAAATTATTGAAATTCAATCAGTCTCGGATAAATGTTATACAAGTGCCTTCTTGTCTGAAAGATTTAGGTTGATGTTGTTTCGTAATAAATTGTCTGAAGTTCTCATTAATCACAAGTTATTCGTGGATTAAAAGCAAGATAGAGTTAAAAGTACATGTAGGACATGTATATAGCATAAGTGTGATTTTGTAACAGGTAACATTTTGTTCTAATTTAAAGACATACATATAGAACAAGACAGGCAATTATCATTGGGTGATAAATTTGATAAAAGTCCTGGCATTTGAATATTGTGTGCAGTTTTTCATCAGAATTGTATACATACTGCTGTTTCCCTTAAAAACATGTCATCAGAACAGAGTATAGAATAACAGAAAATCTGGTCATTGGGAAAAGTGTTACACATTACTGGTTTATAACTGATCCCAATGATATCTTTTTAAGGGGTAGGGATTTATTTATACTTGATTTTTCTAGTTCCTCATACGAATTACCAATGAGGTGAATATATTTCACTTTAAATGTTATAGATTTCAAAATTGACTTGTTTACCCATCGAATTGTACTGAATATATTTATTGCAAAGCAAGAAGAGAGACTATTGATTTGTTGAAAGTTTCTTCTCAAGTTTGGCACATCACATTCGTTATCATCTACTGTGAACTATCAAGAGATAAGGAAACAAAATCAAGAATATATTGAAAAGAAAGTGGTAAGACTCCAGAATATTCCAAGATCTGGTGTTGATATGGTATTTATACTATAGCGGATATGTGGTAGCTGTAATCGCTACTGCAGTCTCGACTTTCATAGAGAATTGAATGCGGGTAATTTTTCTTTATGTACATGTGGATATAGATCAATTTTAATTTGGTTGCTGTTTCTACTGTTGGAGGGTTTTATCATTACTCAAAGTATTTAATATACTGTTACACCAGCATTTATGGTTAGTGTACAAATGGATCTGGTAAATGTGTGACAATGTGTTACCAACTGATTACATTGGAAGCTTACATATTTATGTATTGTCTGAATCCCCTATATATATGATATGGTTGGTTTATTTCCTTAAAAGGCAATTTGGAAGGCTATATCGGTATATATTGTGAAATTTTAACAACTTATTGGCAGATATTGATGAAATATTGATGGATGAACTTTCAACTTATGTTTTGGTTAAGCCAATCCTTTGATAACAGATTTTTAACACATCGCGTGATCCTATTAGTATATTATTCTTTTACCTCCAAGAATGTGGCTTATATTTGACAAAATCAGTTGTTGTAATTGTAATGAATTTAAAGTGAAAGATTTTATAAAAAAAAGTAGATATAAACAAATTAATGGCATAACTAAAGAGGTTTATTTCCTTGTAATATTCTAATTAAAAATGATAATTTATTTCAATCAAAAAACTTGTAAATGGGAAAGTTATAATAGGTACTTAATACGGAGTTAAATATGATATTTTAGTTCATATTTTTTTTTTGTACCAATGTTTTTAAATTGTATATAGAAACAGTATTTCAGGAAAACTGAAAAAATGTTTTTGAAAATACATATAGAGACTTTATTTCAGGAAAATTGAAATATGTTTTGAGAATGCATATAGAAACTTCATTTCAGGAAAATTAAAAAAAAGTTTTGAAAATACATATAGAAACTTTATTTCAGGAAAATTGATTGAGACATCTTATTAGGTTTATATAGGGCCTATTAAAACACTGCCTATACTTTGATATGCGTGTGTTGAATATGAGCTTATAGATAATTATCTCTTATAAGTGAAACATTCATACTAGTAATGACTAATACATTCTAAACAAACATCATTTATATGCAGTTTGTATTATCATTGCAGCCAGCAGTGAAATGTTGCTATTTATTCATACAGATATAATGAAAACCATCACAAGCGTATAATGATATAAAAAATTTGTAAACAGGATCTAACACTGCATAAATTAAGTCTCGTATGCTGTATGAAATGTAGGAGGTAAGAATTATGGTAGATGTATTTATAAATGCATTGTGGAAATTAGATACATATCAAAATTGAGACCATATACAACAAATTCCTTTCAACATTATTTTCATAGGCTTTCATAGAAAATGTTTTCGAATACAAATAAGTATTAGGATGCATTTCACACTGCATATGGACATTTTTGAGACTGTAAAGTGCAAGAGATCTTACTGCTTATTTTTGATAAATCATATAGGTAAACAACATGTATTGTGCTGTTCAAATTCATGATTTATTTTCTTTCCATAATTCAAAAGCTGAATTTAATGACACAATTGAAATCAAATTTTTACTTCAATTTTTTTTTTGTTTTTTTTTTTTTGTTTCAATAGAAACTAGATTCTAGAAATACTAAAAACTGGTAAAACCAGAATGAGGTTAAATGTAAGCTAGAAATATAGATTTAGGCTTAGCTGTTATCATGTTCCTTATGTGAATTTTTACCTGCTCAATATGTAAATGACCTGTCTGATGTAACAATTGGTGAGGTCAGACTTTGATGTTTTTCATTGACTATCAAATAGTTTGTCAGTATGATAGAAATTGCTATTCAAATATTCATTGCATTTTTAATATCAGTTTTCCTGTAAAGTTTACATGGATTTGAGATTTCAAAAGATACCTGTATACTCAGAGCCTGAAATTAACAATTTTTGTATGCATGATGCAGTATTTGAATTTTGCAATATATGTGAATGCTACATACTCTAAATGAAAAGCAACATATGTAGTTGTAAGAAAATTATCTTGCCAATCAGTAAGTCTGCTTCTTCTCTATTGCTGATTAATTCCTTTTAAAAATGGAAAAATGAAATGAAGATATTGTACCTATCATTGTTTCTTGCATTTTTTTCTTTTCTTTTTTTGATCCATTTCATGCTTCATGTTATAGTTTTAGGTTGAGAAGTGGCTATACTTTGAATGTGATTATCTCCTCACTACATTGTAGCTTTTCCTAGAAGTAATCAACTGACCTAAGTGAATTTCATATACAGGTGATCAACTCATTATCAACTGTGGAAACTTTCATTACGAGTATATTCATAAATCGACGATTAATATAACCTTTATCAGTACAGTTTAGTATTACTTGTAGTATGAAAATGTTGATCAAAACTAGAAAAAATTAAATGTGAAAAAAAGGAGTTGATTAAGATAGTTATCAGGTTTTGGTAAACAAAAATTTATATATATTTCATAAAAACTTGAAATATGGACAGATTACTTGATTAATGGTAAGGTGTCTTGGACCATACAGCCAGTCATTCAAGGTTTTATTATTTATCTGTCTACGGTCGACCTGACTAACAGACATCTCGCTTTATTTAGGCTAAAATCAATGTCTGGACTTCAACATTAGCGGTTGGAGGAAATATCCTTGGAAAACTCCTCTAATCACATATTATTTTACACTGCCTATATGTTTTACAGGGAATGTTGCCTTCATTTAAAAAAAAAATTGCCTCCTTTTCACACATTAGTTCAACTGTTTTGTTCACTTGTGGTTAAGCTTTGGCTCCTTGCTATATA